CCCTTTTAATTTACTACTGCATTTTAATCATTCTTGTCTTTTAAATCCTATAGATTATTTTGGTGGTTTTATATTTTATGTGTCTACCATGCAAAGCCCCCCTGTGAGAGAGAGAGAGATGGTTTTAAAAGTTGATAAATAAATCAAGAAAGAAACATTGATTTATTAATATAAAATATTATATTGAAATATTATATAGTATATAGATTATATTGAAATATATCTATATACTGGGCAAGACAGAGACCTTGCTGGATTCCTCCCCACACCCAGAAAAGTATAATATTTGGTATAATATTCTGGAAAGAATTTTTTCTGGGCAGGGGGAACTTGGGACCTTGGGAAGGGAAGGAAGAGGATGGGACTGATGGGAAGGAGGGGCATCTATTTCTTCCTTTGAGATTGTTTCATTGTCATCGTTGTAGAATTTCAAACTTTTTAACTGTAATTTAATTTTAAAGCTTATTTGTTATACATTTTTATTTAGGGGTGATGTTATATCCTAAGCCATCCAGATCCCCGCTTTGAGGGAGGTGAAGGGATTAGGAGTATCAATAAATATCAATAAATACCAATGAGTAAATTTCATAGATCTGAGAGCGGAGAATAGATAAGATAAGATAAGATAACCTTTATTGTCATTTTTTTACTGTGGCCACAATCAAAAATGAAATTTAGTTGCCCGCTCTCAAAGTGAAAGACATACATGATACACCCTAAAAACATACTACATACAACATATGTATAGACCCACACCCCTACATATACATAACGAATAAATATTAAACGCTGTCCATCTTGAGTATATAATGGAAGGAGGAGGCTTGAGAGGGGCAAATCTTTCTCCGGGAGAGTCCTAATAAATGAAATGAAAAGGGGGGGGGTCCCTGCATTCCCCCCCCCCATGGAACTCCCCCTCCCGCACTCACCTCTCCGGCCAAGCACGGAAGCGCTCTGGGCAACCTCGTAGTTGTATCGGCAGAAGCGATCCACTCCGGTCTTCTGGTACTGCAGCTCGTGCTTATCCCTGTTGAAATCCTCCGCATCCGCCTTCCCCAACGCCGTGACGGCCTCGAACTCCCCGCGGGCGCTGTCGAAGCGGAGAAACTCCTGCCGGTCGTAGAAGACCCTGTCCAGGTATCGCACCCGCCGCGTCCCGTTGAGGAAATGGCACTCCTGCTTCTCCTGGTACAGGAAATAGGCTGCGGGGAGGAGGAGGAGGAGGAGGAGGAGGGGCGTCAGGAGGGACTCCAGGGCCCATAGTTCCCAGCCTCCCCTTGAGGAGGGACACAGGCTTGTCAGAGGAGGGGAGAAAAACCTGGTGCGAGAGACTGCTGGAAGGCGCCCCCTGGAGGAGGGATGGGGAACCGTCGGTCCCAGCGGGATCCCCCCCTTGGTGGGGGTCGGGAGAGGGGAGGAAAATGAGGGAGGGGAGGAGCTTCCTGAGGGACCGCCTCCTTCTCCCCAGGGTGGAAAAAGGCAGGCAGAAGTTCAGCTGGTCCAGCACTCGGTCTACCTGTCTGCAGGGAACGTG